GGACTTTACCTGTGTGGTGGGGGAACCCACCTTACAGCATTCTGGATGCCTTAATGGCCTTAAATATCACTAATTAAAGAAAGGTATAGAATGAACGTGGTGCTGATAATTAGTGTGTTAAGCAAGTTCACAGTACATGTCAGGGGGCTGTACTGCAGGATGCCTGGTTTCTGAATTCCAAATTGATTTGTTAGGTGAGCAAACATCCAGGACAGGTTTCAGGTCTCCTCACACTGGACATGAAGTTAAGTATTCACCCTTTTTTAGCTTTTGTTTGTAAGCACTACTGGTCCTTTTTCATTCTAAGTTGCTAAGTTGCACTTTTGATGAAGAATGACTATTTTTGAACTGGCGGACCACAGCAAACTGATGCCTAAAATTATCTAAAAAGCACAGTTCTATTTGGGCTTCAGTTTGACAGGTTTCAAAATCTATCTTTATAAAATGAAATTCCGCCAGAGGTATCTATTTCCCTCTATTGATTATAATAGAAACTTAGATGACAAACTCTTCAGACATAGTTTCTTAACTTCTGGATGTCTCAAATTAGGTGAGATGAGTCCCCCCTCAGGTATTCAGTCTAAGGCTGTTATTGAGTTATCCATTATAAAGGGACAGGCATGCCCAGAGGGTGATATTGCCCATCCTAGCACAGATAGACAAAGGGAAGGATGCACAAATCTCTGGAAATGTCTTTGTCCCTTGTGTAGGAATTGTAGAAGATACTTAGAATAGATCAGAAACTTTTAGACTGTTAAACCTAAGTCAAAAGTCCTCACTTCTTCTCACCCTTGTATGTATGTACATAACAGTATCGTTCTACCCCATCCAAGAATTAATTCATAATCAAAGAAATCTTGAGCTGCCGCAGTGCGTGAGATGGTAAAAAAGGTGCAACAACACTATATTTTTTTAATCCTGTGTAATTTCTGGGTAGGATGAAGGTTGATGTGATTTAGCTATGCGTGATTCTGCCCCTCTACTCCACTCTCTTGAGACCCCACCTGCAGTGCTACTTCCAGCTCTGGGGGTCTCAACATAAGAAGGATATGGACCGGTTGGATTGAGTCCAGGGAAGGCCACAAAGATGCTCAGAGGGTTGAAGCACCTCTGTAAGAGGTGAAGACAGGCTGAGAGAGTTGGTGTCGTTCAGCCTGGAGAAGAGAAGTCTCCAGAATGATCTTACAGCACCTTTGAGTACCTAAAGGGCTATAAAAGAACTGGAGAAGGATTTTGGATAAGGGCCTCGAGTGACAGTACAAGGGGTAATGACTTCAAAGTGAAAGAGGGTAGGTTTAGGTCAGATATTAGGAAGAAATTCCTTACTATGAGGGTGGTGAGGCACTGGCACAGACTGCCCAGAGAATTTGTGGATACCCCATTCCTAGCAGTGCTCAAGGCCAGCTTGGATGGGTATCTGAGCAACCTTGTCTAGTGGAAGGTGTCTCTGCCCATGGCAGGGGTTTTGAAACTGGATGATCCTTCCAATCCAAACTATTCTATGATGGTTCTATGAAGGGTAGAGAGTTTATTCTGTGTGGGTGGATGGACAAGGCCACATCTTGGATTTGTAAGATGTGTTGTGCAGAATGACTCTCCAGCATTTGGCTGTTACCCAGATATGAAGACATGGAGAAAAGGAGAAAACCAAGCTGAAGATGATGCCTAGGAGGGAACATGACTGACAGGTATGATGATAATATTGTCCACAGTGATTGAGAATGGAGGTGGAGGAGAGAAGAAGAAAGTTTGTGGAGGAAAAGCATAAGAGCTCTGTTTTATACATATTGAGCTTGATCTGACAGCTAAACATCCACCAGGAGATGCTGGAAAGACAGTCCAAGATTTTGGCTTGGACAGGAGTCAGTCCTGCAGTAGAGAAGTTAGATCTGCAAACTGTCACTGTAGCAATAGCAGCTGAATTTGTGTTGGTGGATAAGGCTGTTAGGGACAAGGCTTGGATGAGGAAGGGAAGAGGATGATATGAAAAGACCTGTTTATGTCCCCATATGGATGGAAAACAGAGACAGGAGGGGATGGAGTAACCAAAGCTAAAAGTACGGGGCGTACAATTGCTATAAATATATTATAAATACATGCAAGAGTACGTGAAAATTATGATCTCTTATAAAGGGGGATACAGACATCAAGTAAAACGCTATCATAAAGTTGATAAGCTCAGAGGCAAAATGATCTAAAGAGACAAAAAAAGCCCCAGCTCTCTCGACAGGTAGATACAGAAGGAACTTTGGGCCTGCTCAAAAGGAAGGAATTTTGGGTAATCTACTTCTAAAGGAAATTGATTGTTTAAAAATTGGAAAGCTTTAGACCTGTTTGGTGGACTTGTAGGAGAAAAAAGTGCCTTGCATAGCTAAGTGAGCTTGTTGTGGACAGTGGTCAGGCACCTGTCCAAGTTAAGGTTAATTAAAAAAAAAAAGAAGAGAAGAACTTTCATAAAAGAAAGTTACCTTTCAAAACTATTAGGCAACATATGTTGTGTGAACAGGAAGTCACAGCAGAGCAATAATCCTGACAGCTGTGGAGGAACAGGAGTCTGCTGCAGGAACGAACGGCTCGAGACCTGACAAGAATGATGATGGATGCTCTGTTGGTGGTACACGAGGACAAACCAAGAGGCGCTGAAATTGGCTGAACAACAGGAAAAAAGTTGAGTTGGCATCGCAACAGGACAAACAAGGCCAGTGCTAGCAGTGGGAGAAATGGAAGGGGCTGAAGGAAGATGGCAGCAGTGCCCCCCTCTTTCCCAAGGACGACGGCTGCGTCGCTGTCTCACCACGAGGTGGCTGCATTTCCCTGTGAACATCCAAGCCCTGAACGATGCTGCACACTCCGGTGTGCCATGAAAACCAAGAATGGCAGCAGAGATCCTTGCAGGATTTGGCCTATCTCTTCAAAGAACCTTAGAAATGTTGAGACTGTGGGAAAAACCTCTTTTGCTCTGTGTTTTCATTGAGTGTCAGTCACTTGGCAGGTCCTCATGGGTCTGCTAAGACATGGTGGCTGACTGTGTTGCTACGCCTGCTTGTAGCTCATAGGAGATACAAGGCAATGCCACATAACTTAGCTTATAATGAAAAGGAGGACATTAATAATTCCCTCCTTGCTTTTCCTGTGAACCAAGAGTAGTACTTAGACTGCTGCTGAAGTTCAGACAATTCACAGACACTTGTGAAGCCATGGAAACTTGATGGTGAGTCTAGAATGGGCATCTAGTAAAGGTTAAATTGTGATGCTTTTTCACATGCCTAGGTCTGGTTATTCAAGAACATTCTATAACAGCTATTTGAGTCAGATATGTCAGGAGGAAAAATGGTCCCTTGAAATTGACCCATGAAATGAACAAATTCTCAGTTATTTTGTACATCCTAAGCTCAGGTGATATCACCAGGATAGAATAGTAATTTGTTTCCAGGTGGTCAAGAGATGAGTACTTTTTTCTTATCCAAAGTGTTCTGAAAGTAGGAAGGAAAAAGACTGGGAAAGAATAATAAAATTTTGGGTATACTAGATCTAGAAAAAATCTTCAACTCTCCTTGGGCTTTGCTTGTTTTCTCCTGTCTTCCTCTCACATGTGTTATAGGATTTTGCAGGATTATTGTGATGGGGACTAACATTTTATTAAACCTTTCTGTGGTACCACACCTTATGGAATTGAAACTCCTGACATCAGCTTATAGATGCTATTACTTTGGGTCAAAGTTTGAAAGAACCCCTTTGACTTGTCTCAGGAAAGATGTTCATAATATTCAACTATGGGATGGAAGCTTCAAGCCCAACATCTGGTTTTGTTAGGAGGAATCTGTTAGTTTACTCTTAAAAGCATTGAAGTACTTCAAAAATTTGAGACCTACATCTTTAAGGAGATTTTTTTTCAGTAGCGTCACTGGTAAACATGTACCATTTTTAAACTGATTTGTCTAAGATGGGGTTCCAAAAAATGAGATCTTGATGATTTGCTAGTTTTAGAAACCTTTTCCTTTTTCATCCCTGCAAAATTCTAGAGAAAAATCTGTCGGGCCCTCTTTTAAACTTATTTGGATAAATTCATGAATTTACATTACAGTCTCTTACTGAAAGGGAGATTTTACACTCTCAAATATTTTTAATTGAGCTTTCTTGTATCCTTTCCAAGTTGTCGGCATGCTTCTTAGCCTTTCATGATTTACACTGTGAATAATTAGTAATAAAAATAATATACTATTATAATAAACCAAAACATGTTGTACCAGATTGTCTTTCCCTCCTGACAGTGGAATGCCTTACAATCCTCTCTGTCTTGTGATGATGTGCAAATATCTGTTTGCATAAAACATACATTTCCATTGCTGTTTTCTTGAACTATCAGTCTTGAAACCCCACATCAGTAGATATTTGTATAAGTGGAATGATCCCTCCAGTCTTTCCTGGAAGATCCAGTAGCTGGTCTGACACGCTTTCAGAAGTCAGAGATAGGGGACCACATTTATGCCCACGTAGGTGCTTTTGTGGTAGCAGTGAGAGGCGCCCATCCCTGTGTGATTTGTCTCTAGCTCCTAATGCCTCGTGTGAACGTGCTGCTCTCTGCTGAGCACTGGCAAAAAAATTCTTCATATTTTGCCTAGAGGTAGGGACTCTTTGAGGGGGGGGGGGAAAGAAGCTCTCAGACATAAGTTTCTGCTTGATTCTTCCCTTTGAAACTTGAAAGATTACACTCATGGTGAGTCTGACCCACAGTTTTTGGCATCTGTGAACCATATGACTTTTTATCAAGCCTTCAAAACTGGTGGTGACAAAATACAGCACCCCTTGGGGTTCTGTGCCTGTGAGGAATGACAGTGTCATCCTAGCCTTTCCACTGATGAGTTAAGTACATCCAAGGCCCTGAGCCTTTTGGATGATGAGTTGCAGAGCAGAGATAAATCATCCCTCCTCCTCCATCAGGCCACAGGGCAGCCAAGGCTGGACCAGTTCTCCCTTGCCCATGTTACAGAGCTACTCACCGGCATTGTCTGGCTGCCATGCAAGGCATTGATGGCAGCTTGGGCCTCTGCATGTGAAGAGTATTTCACAAATGCACACCCTGGAAGAGGAAAAAGAAGAGAGTAAGAAAGCTTGCATATATGCCATGAAAGTCCATGTAGCTGAGTACCCTGTCCTCAGAACTGGCCAACAAATACGGCTGTGGAGAAACTATAACAAACAAATGGGCCCTGATCCTTCCCAGGCCATGATCCTTCCTTCTGGGGGAAGATCCTCAGCAGCCTGAGAATCACTTAAGGCAAAGCTGCAACCAGAATTCCCACACTGCTTGTAATGAGCACTGACAGACACAGGCTTAGCAAGTACATCTCGAATCTACATGTTTTGACCTCCACAGCTTTCCATGGCAGAATCTTGCACAATTTTACAGTTTTTGGGGTGAAAAAGACTTTTCTTTCATTTGTATTAGACTTAATGCAGAGTGTTCCACCCTCTGTGGTTATGAGAAATGGTACAGAAGAGTGTTTAAGTTATCAGAAAGCTATACACACATAATTTTTACAAGCAACTACAGGCCCAAATATGCAAAAGGTATTCAGGGTTACTCCAAATCCATGAGGTAACTTATCACTGTCTGCTAGAGCTCCATGAGACACTGCCCAGAGCTTGTCCTGGCTCCAAACAACTTTTGTCTGACAAAGCTTCTGATGAAGTAGCGGGGATGGGAGAGGTACAACTGATGATTTCCTTCTTATCACCAGCAAACTTTGAATCTTAGTCTTTCATAGCTGCAAAGCCTGTGCCAGTGTAGGTGTTCTCTTCTGGACATTAGAGAAATGTAGGCAGTGCTTCTCTGGCCTGCATTGCCATGTGAGGAATCTCACACTGAACTCTTACATAAGGTTTTAGGACAGAAAGGTGAATTTATGAATATGTGCTGGAGTGCAGAAATGATCAACACTTCAAAGGGTGACATGCACCACTAGAGTGGGGGGATGTATTGCCAACACTCCTAGCTACAAGCAAACTGACTCAGAGAGAGGAAGGGTAATTTCCATATGCTAAGGCGGTTTTTGGAACAGATTGGGAGAGATCTGAGAAGTTCTGGCTTCCATTCCCTTCTATTACTACCAAAGACTTCTGAGCTTTTAATCAATTTGCAAAACCCTCACTGTTTCCCTGAAGGGGACCAGAGGGGATGCCAGTCCTGATGGTGGGATGTCTCTCCTTCATTCCCTTTGCAGCATCTTTAGAGAGTCCACACACCCTTATGGAGCCCTACAGTGCAGGGTGAAAAATTAAACAGTAGAGCTTGCAAACTGGAAGAATGAGCCCCAAAGGTCCCTCAAATCATCACTGCAGGCTGATAGAAGTGAGATTGAAGAAAGTGGTGATAGCCCTTTCTGAAAATAATACACATTTATGGAATTAGTTTACAGTTAGGAGCCCTTCAGTTTGTGTTACCTTCTCAGCACTGTGCTCAGACTGTATTCAGGAAAAGCTCAACTATTATTGCTAATAGTTGTATCTAATTTATAAGGAGCTGAGAGGAAACAGTCATGAGAAAATGAGATAGATAAACTTCAGCTGGAAACAATGGGGATCAATTATGACATAATCGCAGCCCAGCATTCCCGGACTCCTGAGATACTGCGTCTTCCTCTTCATTAATCAGAGATAATCCAGAATTAGGGTGTTTAATTATTTGCAGAGATTCTTTTGTACTTTCTGCCTCTAAAAGAAGATGCTGATTAGCAAATATACAAAAGCTTTCCAGTTCCAGTCACCCATTGCATTAGTGGAGGATTTTTGGCTGCAGTGTTGTTGTTGTATTGAAGGCTTCACTCTTTTCAGGTGAAATTCACCTGTATGCTGAGGGTCCTGATGGATCAGTGGAGCTGGAAAAAGGTGGCAATGAAGGGAGTAGCAGGCATTTATCTTGTTTAATGCCCAAGATATTAATGGGTTCCCTCCTACTGCTTCCTATTAACTTTTTCTAGTAGGTTTTGAGGCAGCATAAAAAATGAAAGTGAAAACTCATTTTTTTCTGGTGTAGGGTGGCAAGGCAATAGCAGAGATGCCAACATTTTGTCCATTTTGTTTGTGTGTTCAGTGGGATGGCTTCTGTATATAACACCAAAAGTGCACTTAACCTTCCTTCTCATTTCACCAGAACTGACTCCAGGAACTTATGAGCTGAGCACGTGAGTCCAGCCACTCTTCTCAGAACAGCAGTGTGACTTAGACAGAAGCAAACCTGGAGTGTGAAGGGATTTTGACAAACAGAGAGATACAACCTGTGCTGAACAGGGTGATACATGTGCTTAAGTTTTTCTTGATTCCTAACATCCAGATTACAGAGCTGGAAGGGCTGCTCTGACTGTCTTGTCAGCTCGGAGGAGACTGCAGAGTCAGGCCCTAGGATTATGATTGCAGAGGATGCTTACATTCCTCTTGTGGAGGGTGCTGTGGGAAATTTTTACTGAGTTATCAAGGCATACAACTCCTTAATGGGAAAAAAAAAAGGGGGAAAGGGATAGCTGTACAGAGAGCAGCAGCAGTGCAGATTCTGTAGGTCCTCTGGCTTGCTGAACTGGATCCACTTCAGCTTGCTCACCTCAGGAGTCCTGGACTTCTGACTGCACACTGGTGAGCTTCACCTGGAGGGAAACTCCTCTCTTCCACCTGGTTACCTGGTTCCAGCCCTTCTTCCACCTGGTTGCCTACTCCAGCCACTGTGCCTGCTGCTGAGTGACTCTGCAGGAGGTATTTTTGCAGGCCCTGAAGGGTGTGCCTCATGGCTCAGGACACCAGCCGTGGCTTCAGGCAAGGCTCAGCAGCTTTTTGGCTGTGACTGGACTGTGATGGCGTTAAACTGGGAATCTGCAACCTACCTTCTGAGAGCACTGAGCTACCTGAAGGACTTAGAGGCTCACCACAGGGATGCCTTGTGGGGCTTTACACAGTGGGTAGGTTAGGATTGAAGTCCATGGGATCTGATTGCTATCTGGAATTTAGGCAATCTGCTTAAATCTCAACTGATGTAGAATTTAAGCCTTTTACCCAAAATAAGTAGCTCACAAGCAATGTGTGTCACATATAGGTTTCTAGCAGATGGAAAACATTACAGACTGGGAATAACTTTGTGGGAGTTGTGGCTTGCCTGACTGTCTCCTAAGATAAGGGCACTAGCCTTAAGTTTTCCATTGGATTGACTGCTCTGTGTGAGTGTGTGCATGTACGAAACTGGGTGTGTGTAAATTAGGAGCTTCACATTCTCAGTAAATAGCACCAGCAAATGGAAGCTGGTAATATTAACTCTGTCAAGGCTCAGTATTGATCCTGAGCAGCTCAGTGAAACGCCAGCCTGAGACTGCAGCCCGCTAGCACTAATAATTAAACTGGTTAGCAATATGGAGCTGCCACTCAGATTCTGTCTTATAATGAAATTGTTTAAGAAGAAAAGAAAAAAAAGAAAAAAAAAGATAGAGCAAGCATGAAGGCAAGTCTGTGGTTTGTATCTCCTCTGGAATTTGTTTCTTATAGATCTCAGACTTTATTGCCTTTATTATTACTCTGTTTAGCTCCTTTGTCATTAGACTTTGTTCCATACAATTCCTGGTGGAAGCAGACAGACGTATTTTTTTCGCTTTTCCCCAATTTACTGATTTGTTCAGTGAACAAAGTGCTTAACTGCCTGCTGGTATGATGATTGGAGCTCCTGCAGGCCATACTAGCCTACTGCTTCCAGTGGGGCAGCCCCTGTCTCTGAGTGTTGTGGAACTTAGGTACACAATTGAAGAAAGGTGCCCAGCTTTCAGCCTGTTTTCAGTCATTTTTATCAGGAAGCCTGAGCTGTGCTGATGTATATTGAGCAGCTGCCCTATAATGCCGGTGTGAAGTAGTTCTTTTTTGGTCACCAGTGATTTTATGGAATAACAATATCTTGCTCCAGTGTATCACTGTGATTTGGATTTTTTGCCTCCTTGTTGCAAAAATATGCTGGTTGATGTTGTCACTTTTCAAAATACCCATTGAGATGTGAACTGTGTCAGCAGGACTGGTCTCTTCTCTGGTGTTGAACATTCCAACACAGTTTATACTATATTATACAGATATATTATGCCGATCAATATTTAATGGACACACTACACTGTCAAGTGAAGAGGGTTTCCTGTTCAGACCGAAGTTACTTTGCCTAGAGACTGATGGGGACAAAAAATTACCTTCCTGCTTGAGAGACCTTATTCTTATACCTGGGCTGTAGAAGGTGTGGGTCTGGTGGATGGGATATAAGCAGAGTTGATGATTGTTAAGTGAGTTAAGTGAGTTAACAGTGACTTAAGATGTAAAGTACCAATTGAGCTTTTTTTAAAGAAAGAATCATCCTGTTCAACCGGGTGGGGAGAGCACGTCTTAGGTGAATGCAAAGGCCTGTTCAGAGAGGAGGTCTGCCCAAGCAATAGTAGGCATCAGCTTGCATGTGCTGAGACATAACTCTTTGGAGAGATGTGTTTTGAAATACAATCAGCTTTTCCCCCTCGTGCACGGAGCGACCAGCAAAGTACTGCCTTCCCTTTGCAAATGTGACCTCTTCCTAAAGTAAGAGGTGCTGTTCTAGAGGCTACATGGTACTTTTGTCATACCAGAAAATGACACTAAGGCCAGGTCTAGCTTGACACAAGCCACCACCTTACCTTTGCTGTTGCCATCGGGTCCCCGAAGGATCGTGCACTCCTCGATGTTGCCAAACGCCTCGAATAGCCTGCGCACATCGTCTTCCGACTGCTGCTTGTTGAGCATGCCCACAAAGAGTTTTCTGTCTTCTGGAACAAAATAAAGAGATGCTTACCATATTTCAGGAGGGATATGAGAGCCAAGATGGCTCAGCATCACATGCAAAACAAACGGTGATTTCATCGAGGTGACACATTTCAGAAGCTGCTAATCTTTTCAGGTGGCTGGCTCGAGAAACCTTAATAGCCTCTGACTTTCAAAAAGCACTTGAAAATAATCCAGCAAATTTTAAAAAACCAAACCACTAAACAAAAAACAACAGTGATTTTGTTATATATACAAAATCTCTATCTGCCTCTTAAAATCTAGGCACCAAAGTGTTCCAAATCAGCTGCTTCTGATCAATTTTTGCAGTCAGCTTGCAGTAACTTAAATGACAACATTGCTCAGACTGCAATCCAAGAGGAATGTGGATAAAGATAGCATATAGAAACCAAGTCCAAATGAAAAATAACATAAGTTAGTAGCCCTCGCAATACTAAATAAGTTGCAGGAAAAAAATTGTTTAACATAAGCTTTTTAAAATCAGGATATAACGGAAGTCACAGCCTGTAAATTGGAAATTTGTCATTCAAGCCTACTCAGAGACATGTATCTACAAGTTTGGATGAGTTTTTTAACATATTTATAAAGTTCATTTGAAATAAGCCCGAAGTTTTTTAAACATAAATTGTTTTTTGAAACATAAAGTTAACTTATATGATTGCTAATATCTGAGGTAACTTGAGTAGGTGGTATTTCATGCCAAAGCAGGACATGGTCTGCCAGTAGATAACTGTATTTTGAAAAAGGATGCTCAAGGTAACCCAGCAGTGTGCACTTCCAGCCCAGAAAACCAGCCATGTACTGGGCTGGAACAAAAGCAGGGTGGGCAGCAGGTCGAAGGAGGTGATTCTGCCCCTCTGCTCTGCTCTTGTGAAACCCCTTCTGGAGTGTTGTATCCAGCTCTGAGGTCCCCAGCACAAGAAAGATGTGGGCCTGTTGGAGTGAGACCAGAGAGTGCGTTGGAACCAGATGATCTTTAAGGTCTTTTCCAACCCAAATCATTTTATGATTTATGCTCAGATTTATACCAAGTTTGGGGATCTCCATGAGACTCCTTCAGGAAATATTGATGAAAACAAACAAAACTTATGATTGTCAGAAATATGTCAGAGGGTGCTGAGTGATGCCTCGAGATCAGGTTTCTGTTCAGAGACTAACACCACTACACCAAGAAAAAAAAAGAAATTTACATAGTTTACATCGTGTATGTAAACAGGCCATTTGCACATGATTCATAAATGTCTTATTTATCATTCATTAAACACTATGTAAATGTGTGAACCAAGAGGTTTTTATTCAGAGCACTTTACAGAGCAGATGTAACCAATTTGAATAAATATATGTAAATATATAAATAATTTTATTTTTTATTTAATTTATTTTTTAATGTACTGGTTAACCTAAAGCTGAGCAAAACACTGGTTTGCAACAACCCTTTTCTGGCTGACTAATTGGGCAATTTATGTCACTTTTGTTCACCAAGAAATCACTGGTGTAGGCAATCTGTTCTGCTTCAACCAGTGTTTGATCAAAATTCCCCTCTCCAAGATGCACCTGCACATTGGCAAATTACTTTACAGCCTTGGATGTGAATAATTTTTCATGCAGTGGCTATTGAGTGGGGATATTAGGAGCTTTCAACCCTGCAGTCGAGTTATCCACAGCAACAAAAAGTGAACTACCCACAGAAAACAAGGAGTTATGTTGCTTTCAGTTAGGCTGATGAACTGGTAGGAGAAATGGGTTTAGAAGGGTACATGTGCACTTCTGATAGGTGAGAAAAACAGAAATAGCCTTCTGACAGATATGTTAAAGCAAGAAATATTCCTACTTTATGTTGGAATTTATTAAGGAGAGAGATATTTCGTGGTCTTTGCTGACAACACAACATTCAGACTTTAACAATGCACAGATCCCTAACACCATGGAGGTTGTCCTCACCTCACAAGGAGTTGATTTGGACATGTGAAAAGGTTTTTTTCTCAGTGGCCAAAGGGTCCTGCAAAAGGACATCACTCCAAGATGTGAGGTATAAGCCTTAGAGAGGCAGCTACTGAAGTTCACTGTGCACTCCAGGGAGCATCTTTCAGCCCAGGATATGACAGAGCCTTAGAAGAAGAGTCCTGTCCTAAGTCCAAAGGTTGTCCAGATATTGGAGGAAAACCCATCCAGCAAATGAGACCACCTGTCCTGCAAGATGGGATTTATTTTAGGCAGGAGGAAGAGCAGTGGGAACGAACTAGGAACACTGCTGGCAAAAGGTTTTACTTTGTGTCTGCTAAATACTTCCAGCACAACAGAAGCCTCAGTTATATTGTACTTTATACAGCTTCCCCTGTTTCAAATAAGCTGCATCAGCAAAAACACTCCTATAGATGTGTAACTGTGTTTTCACCAGACTTTTTGTTAATATAAATGTATCATTTAAAAAAAAAAAAAAAGTCACATCCCCCCTCTGTCAGCAAAACTCTCTAGTGTGGAACTGGCCTGAAACTGCCTTCTCTGGTCTACATTATGCAAACCTAAAACCAGATGTTCTGGGAGCCATTCAATTTTTTTTTGTTATTATTATATTTTTTTCCCCTGCATCTCTGCGCTACACTGGGAGTTGGTGGTGGTGGTCCCCTGAGCTGGCTGGCAGATAATGTATTGCCTTGGTGAGCTGTCCACAAGCTGGTCATCAGACCACCAAGAACAGCCTCTGCCAAAGGTGAGGAAAACCTCTCCCAGGAGCTGCTGGTCCAGCCACTCCAGGGCAGGTGGCTCAAAGGGGACCCCCATGGACAGACAGGGCTCAGTTGCTTGGACATTACCTCCAATCCCATCTCCAAGTCAGTGTCCTGTCTCCCTCCTGAAAAACACTGCCTTGTTTTGTTGGGGGGAATCATTTGTCATATCTGCCATCACAGAAATCTACACAATCACACACTTGACTGATAAAAAATGAGTCAGTTTAACAAGTTTTTTACTCTGAGTGGCTTTTATAACAAAGTGCTGCATTTGCCTCTCACATACCAGCTCCTCCAGGGGACTCAGCAGTGTGTTTTAATGACACCCCTCACATATCCTGCGTGGGAAGAAAGAAGGAAGGGTCCAGCAGATGGGACCATTCAGCATGTTCCAGGTCTTGGCTAATGAGATTCCCCACTGATGGTCTTGTATGAGCCTCTTACACCCTGAGTGTCATCATACACTGCTCTTTCACATCTCAAATAAAAAACTAACATGCCGTGCACCAAGGCAACTACTTCTGATTTTAAAATATGTCTAAACAAAGGCCCTGAGGCTGCCAGAATAAAGTTAAGAGGAAATGTGCTGGTGTTACGGGATGTGTCTTGAGCACTATGGATACCCCAGGTGCTCCCCACTAGATGTTTCCAGGGTCCTCTAATGAGAATTGAGGGAACTACATCCTACAAAAATCATAGTTTTAGGCTGCATACAAACCTGGAGCAGTCCCAGATTAAGCCATCTCTAAATTCTGCCTGCCTGTAGGGTCCACCCGTACCATCCATGGTCACCCCATGTGCCTGAGTCCCATGCTTCCTCTTCTTTCAGTAAGACACTGTCCCAAGTCTGTGTGCCTCAAGATCCACACCTGAATGTCAGAGCACTGGGAAGACTCAGTTCTCTGTGGCCTCCATCACAAAGTTCAGTGCTATCATCCTCATTTCAGACTGTGGGACTGAGGGGTAAAAACCTTCAGACCAGGCTCCCTAAGTCCTGGGTCCCAGGGAAAATTAAACACAGAGTAAGGAGAACAGAAATAACACTGTCCAAGGCAGAAATGCAGGACAAAAAGAGGTCAGACATAAGCCCATAGGATGTCTCCAGTGTGAGCCATAGGCATGACCACGTGCTCCAGCCCCAGCTGGCCCGTGGCCATAGAGAGGGTACCTCACAGTACCGTGTTGTCTTGCACAACAGAAATGGGTAGCCACCAGGAGCATCCTCTGTCTCCTCCCTGTGAAGGAAATCAAGACACTGGCTTACTCAGCATGCCCAAGAACAGGTGTGATGAAAGAAGCCAATTCCACGTAGCCTCCTCCAGGCCACACATGGCTGTGCATCAAATATTGATCCACACCTGAGCATCTTCACTTTGCTTCTGTCAAGAAGGACTTGTCTATTAGGTACCTCAAAGTGACTATTTCAGATTCCACCTCACACCCAAATGTTACATGCTGGCGAGAACACCTTGTTAACCTTGCTGCAGCGTCAGCCCTTAAAGCAGCAGCACCATGAGCAGTGATGCTGTCCTGCAGTGCTGTGACTGAGTGTGGTGTCCATGTGAGCCTCTTCTAACCACGATTTTGATTTCCCTCACTATTGTTCACCCTATTATTGGTCTTTGCCCTCAAGCTGAGTCCATCATGCCTGCTTCTCCACGGAAATATCCAACCACGGGTGGATAATTCTGTGTGTGATGGCACCCAGGAGAGCCAAGGAGGTTTTTGCTGGTGCGCCCTGACAACACTGAAAATGAAATTTCTCCCAAGTCTACCCATTTTGCCGTAAACAAACCACCACAACAACAGTAGGCAGCAGTTCCTCCCAGAAGGACAGATAGGGAGAGAAAGACCACAGCAATAGCAAACCAGGGTTCCCAGAGTTTGTCCCCTTGGTGACATTTCCAATATCCCCATGCAACCACGCTTCCCTCTGCTTGACTGCTCTGCCAGGGATGGAGGCTTGTGCCCGTCTGGAAAACCTGGCTGCAAGGCACAGTGGTGAAGAAATGCAACTTGTCAGATAAATATACAGTGTCTATAAATCTCCCTGCTGTGTTTATAGGAAGCCTCGGCAGCTTCCCTGGTGCAAATAGGGGTTAAATTATTCCCTGTTCTATTTGTATTTAAATGTTATGTTTCTATGATAAGCGTAAGGCAGAGGTGTCAGATGGGCCCAGGCGAAGGAGACAACACACGTGAAAGGTGAAATAATAGAGCTCTGCGAACCAAGTGCTGAGAGGAGATGGGAAGGA